GTCCTCGGGCTTGGTGGCATCTGGATCAGGAATCTTGGCCCGCTCGTCCCAGTCCTCAGGCTTCTTGTCATCCGGATCAGGAATGGTCTTAGAGGGGATGAGCGGGGGCTCAAAGTCTTCACTCGAAAGGAAATTTGCCTTCTTCTTCTCCTCTCCATCAATCAAGATGCTCAGCTCGTTATCTGGCTTCAAAATGGCTGTGTACACATGGGTCAGCTTGTCCGAGGGAACCGAAGGCGGAAACTTGAGATGGTGCTCTACAAAGTTCCCACTCTTAGGGTTTTTGTGCTTTAGAATGAAGTGGACCTTATTCGTGGCTCCACATTTGTCAGGACCAAACATGATCGTGTAGGGAGACTCGTTGTCAAATTCCTTGGGGATCCAACCAGCTTCCTGGGGTCGGAGGTACTTGATGTACGCACCCCCACACTCAAGGCCATTCTGTAGACGGACCTCATACTGGAGGACAATGGTGCCGTCCTTGAGTTCCACAGGTTGGTCAAGTTCCTTCACAATGGCATACTTCCTGGCTTGCTGACTGACAAGTAGCCCATAATCGTCATGCCCCTCACTCTTCTCATGCTTCCAAACACCTGAGATTGCATGTGATAATGTTTTCAGAAAATCCTCAATTAGATGAACCTACATACATCTGTTTTCTGCACGAAAATGTCACAAGCTCCGCCAAAAACAAGCTCTTTGCATGACCACATGTAAATGACAGGGAACCAAATAGAAACAACAAGGTCCCATCTACAAGAACCTGAGAACCAGCTAACTACCACATGTCTTGAGCATTTGAAGATAGAAAACGGAATCTCGATGTTTAGAAAATACAAAATCCTTAACCACCCGTAATTTTATATATTAATACAATAAAAAAAAAAAAGTACAGATTTTGAAACTCGAATAACATCCAGTAGAAAAGAAAAATCAACACAACAAGCAAGTGATTAGAATCAATGATGAACAACAACAAACTAAAGCAGATCAATTAGAGTCTAACCTGAATATTCCTGCTTCTCAGAAACAATCCATCTCCCATCGAATTTCTCATCAAACGAGTCGTGGAAGATCTACAAACATCAACATCGCATAACAACCATGTTAACCCTAAAACAATCAAATCAGATCTGCAACAGACTCCAATAAAATCGAATCCGAATGGCAAATTGCAAGCAACAAGCTAAAATATCCACATACCACATCGCCGGAAGCGCATAGCGGTGAGATGAAGCACCCGATCGATAGAAGCAGCAAACACAGAGTTGTTCCAATCTTCCGGCTCCGATCCTCCATCATTGATACAGATTCGTCTGCAGAGATTGTTGGATCTGATTAGAATTTTCTAGAGAGAGAGAGAGAGAGACAGTGAATGTTTGTAAAGGGCTGTGTATATAATATATAGATCAGATGGAGGTACTGGGAGTCGGGCCGTGTCGACCAATGATGTGTAGCGCCACGTTATTTGGACCAATGATATCCTGACACGTGGCTCACTGTGACGAGCTTTTGCTAAAATACGTTATTGACCTCTGAAGCTGGTGATAATCGGGCATGCGGGTTGACCCGACTACTTTGAACATATCTTTTTCAAATTTATTATTATCACATTTCAAATTGATATGTTTCCCTTTGATATACAAATATTTATTCTAATTAAAATAAAATGTAGTTATAATAATCTTATAAATATAATAGTGAAGATTACGTGAGAAAGATTATGGTACGAAGAGTTCAGTATTTGTGAGTAGAAATAAGATTGAAAATGAATATTACACTTGAATTTCAACCGTAACAAAAGTATCAATAATGTGTTGTGCACAATTTTGTTGTGGAGCCATCGGATGACACGACTTATGGGGTCATCTATACTTATTTAGAAATAGTATGTTGGCAAGTGCCCTACAATAAATACAATTTTAAAAATATTAAGTGATGGATGACTCCATAAGAAAACTATCCGATAGCGCCATAGATTTCCCTTGTTGTTGTGCAACCCATAAAAATGTCTCTTATTCAAACAAAAAAA